ACTAAAGATGTGTCTCACAAGTGGAAGTAGTGATTAATTTGATAGGTAATTAACTACTGAGCCCAATTGTCCCATCAGTAATGAACTTGAGTAGAGAGACTAGTGAATGTTGCTGAGGAGAGGGTCTCCAAAACAGAGGATAGCAGCAGGGGACTCTTCCAAAAGCCTCAAAAAACACACAGCAAAACCACACGCTGAGAAAGCAGAAGCCCAAGGAAGAAGGAGAACCTCAAGCTGTCTCCTCCCTGAGTGGGAAGAGTGAGATGCAAACGAGGACAGAGGGGACTCAGAGTGAGCAGAGACTGGAGTGATGATGCCCAATGCCCCTCACATACAAGAGCAGCTCCCAGGGAGCGTGAGTGACCAGGAGGGGCAAATAGGGCATGGTGCAGCTGTTTGCGCAGGCAGGGCATGCAGGTAAGGTGTATGGACAAGGCATAGTCCCTCTCCTGTCTCTAGAGTTTATTTTAGCTAGTTATCGTCTCATTGTGCTCCATGAGTAGACTGAACCAGGATCTCCACTTGGGTCAAAACCACCACCAGAAAGAACTTTGAGACCCATGCAAATGTGCAGTGGTCCAGGTCCCAGGATGCAGGGAGTGCCTGAGCCTGTCAGTCCTGCCAGAGGGCAGCAGGGACAGCACCTGTGTGCGCTGTGATCAGCTGGATGACCTGCTCAGCCTGGTGGCGGAACTCAAAGAGGTTGAAAGATTAAGATGTATTAGGGAGTGCAAAAGGGAAATTGATTGATGGAGTAACACCTTAGCACCCCTGAACCAACAGGAGCAAATAGAGGCTCCAAAAGTGATCCTTCACCCTCTTGCTGCCAGGCAGAAGGAGGAGACCTAAGAGGTGGGGGAGGGTGGAAACAGGTCCCTGCTCAGGGAGGCAGGAAAATCCTCTCCCAACCTCCCTTGCAGGAGCTATGGACACGCACACGACCAGTATGATCAAGCAATGCCAATTTATTGAAGGTAAGCAAGCCCTTTTATAGGTTTCTCCTGTGCACACGAACGGTACATGGTACAATCCTTATAGATAGTTAGCTTCCTTATGGAAAGTTAGCTTTGTCCACGCACTTCAAGCCTCCTCATGATTGGATAATAAGCGCCACATTCAATGTCTTTCTCCGCCCAACCCATCTCCTGGAGTTGGTTGCTGAGTTCTTTGTTCTATGTCCTTGTCATGTCCTTGCCGAGGCGTGCACATGTGTAGGATTGCTCACATGTCCATTATCTCCCAACATATCCCTCTTTTTGGTTTTGAGCAATCCACATTCCTTGCAAGCTTTTTTCCAACAATTGTTAATACAACAAATTAAGCATGGCAAAATAATAACAAACATAACAATTCCAACAATTCCAACTATTCCCCCTTGTAACAACTTCTTCAACTATCCTGTGAACATAGTTAACTTTCCTGTGTAATTTGGGCCCCTACTGGTTTGGAAGTGATTTCAATAAACACATTCAGAATGTATGAGCATTAATCACTTAGAACCATTGCAAGGCTTAGGATTGTGAGCTTGACCTTCTTTCCAAGGCCTCACCCAGTGAGATGGAACCCACTGTAAGCCATGATCCATAAGCACACACATATAACCTCTGCCTGTACTTTAACAGGTCCTTCCCATTGCCCAGTGTTTAAGTTTTTGAACATAACTAACGGCTGCTGTGTGCCCATAGATTGCTCAGCATCACCCTTTATTGCTAAACTGTGAATCATCATTGGTGGTTCCTGACGTTCTCCTGTAAGCCTCAAAAAATTCAAAATATATAAAACTTTATTTAATCGTTCAGCTGGCATCATATCTGACATTCCCCCTTTTTGTTTTTGAATCATTTGCCTCAGAGTTTGATGAGCTCGTTCGATGATTGCTTCTCCAGCAGGAGAGTGTGGAATTCCTGTGCAGTGTTTAATGCCCCATAAGATACAGAAGCGTTGTAAGCGTCCAGAAATATATGCTGGACCACTGTCTGTTTTGATCTTTACTGGTATGCCAGGTACAGCAAAAGAACTATAGAAGTGCTTTTCAACATGTTTAGCTGTCTCCAGCTTGAGCTGTAGCCCAAATAGTCATGGAGAAAGTATCAATAATAATGTGTACATATTTTAACCTACCAAATTCTGCTATGTGAGTAACATCCATTTGCCATAATTGCAAAGGTGATAGGCCCTGTGGGTTAACTCCTGTTCCTAGGCCGAATCCTATTTTTTGACAGGATGAGCAAGAGGCAACAATGCCCTTCGCATCCACAAGAGGAATTTTAAATTGTTTATGCAACATTTTTGCTGACTGATGCAAAAATTGTGAGATTCTCTAGCTTGTGCAACAAATTTGGAGAGGGCCCAGACCAGGCTGGAGCAACCAATTGATCAGCTAGTTAATTTCCATACCCTAATCCTTCTTTGGATTGGTGACTTCTGATGTGAGTAATAAAGTAGACAACGCTTCTCTGATCAAGAGTATGAACTAGTTGTTGCAACAGTTTCCCTAAGTGTTTATTTTTTATTTCTTTTACTTGTCCTCGTTCAATCCTTTTTACTACTCTTACTACATAGAATGAATCAGACACTACATTTAATCCCAAATGTGGCCAGGACAGAAATGCCCACAAAACTGCTTGGAGTTCTAATGTTTGCAAGGAATCTTCTCTTTGGCCTTGAATGAGGTGATATTTCCATTCCTCTCCTTCTAACCAGGTACATGCAGCTTGCTGCATCCCTCTATTGGTTAATTCAATCATGTCACCTACAGATGCTCCTTGTGGGAGGGTAACTAACAATTGCTTGGTGGATGGGTTGGCATTGTCAAAAACCATTAATTTAAACATGTTTTCCTTCATTTCTACAGTCATGTCATACTGCTGTTCAAGAGAGTCATAGAGGCGATCTACAAATTTAGAATAAGGCTCATTAAGACCTTGTTTTACTGTTACAAATTTATCTTGCCGTTGCCCTTCTGTATCAGGCACAGACATTAGGGCTTGACAAGTTAGTGACTGCGATAGTCGCAACACTTCATTAGAGAAATTGACTTGCAGATCTACTGTTGCAAAGGGTCCTGTACCTAACAACATTTGCGCTTGAACGAGATAAAGTGGATTGTCTTGTGGTTGTGGCTGAGCTTGCTCATTATTAACTAATTTAGTCCATGCACTTTCAAACAATATTTTTTGAGATGGAGTTAATATAACTGCTGCTATTTGATCCATATCTTTTGAAATTGACAGTGATGATGAAAAAATATAATTAATAATTTTTTTTTGTTAATTGATGATGAAGACCATTTTGCATTACTGAAGCTCTAGCCTTTTCAAGCAATTTCCAATCTAAAGGATCCCATTCGTTAGTACCACTAACACTATTAATAGAAACAAGAAACGCTTGTACGCTTTCAGGAATAAAGTACCCCTCTGCTATAGCATCTTTAATAATCCCTTTCCATCAGTGTGTGGCCTGTGAAGAAAAAAGATGTGAAGTTGTAGGGTGAGACAAAGGAAGCTCAGCCTCCGCTTGTGATGATAGCAAGAATGGATTGGAAGCAGGTACTGGAACCGAATAGTCAGGTGGCGGAACAGGAGGAGACGGTTGCAGTTGCTTGCCAGATGAAAAGGTACACGATCTGTGCTTCATCTTCTCCTCCTGTGTTGCAGCCAGTTTTTCAAGCTTGCCTATAAGTTGCAAGAGTGAAATTTCTTTGTTTGAAACGTTGACTTGTGAGGCGGGGGGTTTCTCTCTCTGCGAGGAAGGCGCAGGCGTTCCGCCCGCGTTCCCATCCGCGCTCTGCCCACCGCTGGGCTCCGGTGACTCCCCCGCTCTCCCCTCACTCTCCTCTCACGCGGCACCAGGCGCACTTCTGGCATCTCCCGCTCCCGCCTGCGCAGCTCCCGGTCTAACCCCTGTTGCCCGTCGTGGCCCCGCCAGCGCAACCAATGAAGCAAACAGGTTTTTCAGCTGACATAGCGCGATGGGATCTGCCAGCGGCGCAGGCATCGGAGGTGGCATATAAGAGCCACAAGCTGCTTCTACAGCTGCAAAGGCGGAAGTACCAGCCACGCGGTCGCCAGCCACACGGTTGCCAGCCAGGTGGTCGTCGCTCAGCTCCTCTATTATTTCACGGATCAGCTTCCAGAGCACGGGATAGTTGCTCGCTTCTTCTGCCAACCTTCCTCCCTCACTGATCGCGTCCCAAAGCTTTTTTCCTATGGATTCCCAGGTAGATATCTCAAATATGAGACCTGCGTTGGAGACAAGTCCTCTTTCCCAGCTCCATTTCACCAAGCCTTTCAGGGTGGACTTATCATATTTTATCCCTCTCATGGAGAGGATATCTTGGAGGACTTTCACCACTGCTTACTCGTCCCTGCCGAGAATAGACCCCATTCCTCCCTGGCTGCCGCTTCTTTTCGCGGATCTTCAACCCAAATTACAGCACGCTGCTTCTCACCTTCAGGCCCCGGGGCAGAGCCTGGATCAGTTTCGACCGGCTTCCCACCCTCGATTGCACCTCTGTCTAGTCCTCAGAGAAGACTTGTGCCAATCTACAGGGTCCCTGTTCGGGCACAAGATGCGGGAGCTATGGACACACACACGACCAGTATGATCAAGCAATGCCAATTTAGTGAAGGTAAGCAAGCTCTTTTATAGGTTTCTACAGTTCACGCAAACGGTACGTGGTACAGTCCTTATGATTGGATAGTTAGCTTTGTCCACGCACTTCAAGCCTTCTCACGATTGGATAATAAGCGCCACACTCAATATCTTTCTCCGCCCAACCCATCTCCTGGAGTTGGTTGCTGAGTTCTTTGTTCTATGTCCTTGTCATGTACTTGCCGATGTGTGCACACATGTAGGATTGCTCACATGTCCATTATCTCCCAACACTCCCTCACCTTTTACAATGTCCCTTCACAATAGATACGGAGCCATGGAACTTTTGAATGAAGTAGAGAAGGATGAAGAAAATGAGTCAAAGAGGAAGACCAAGGTCTGCTAAGGCCGGGTGTTTTGCTGATTAGGGATATCAATTAAACTCAGCCACCAGAGTGAAAAGAGCAGACATATTTTACTAGAAATAACAATAATAAAATAATACAGAAAACATACAGTAAGAAAAGACAGAACAGCGTGCTTAAACAAATAGGAAAATACAGGGTGATGCATCAAATCATTACTACCTGAGAGAGAATAGTGATTAAGAAAAGATACATCACCACTTGCATACTTTACCATCATCCAGATCCGCAGTCGCTGGGGAGCCCGGTTACAGCAAGGATTTGGAGAAGCTTTCCCTGCAAGTGGGAAATCCTATGCGGTGCGTTCACCCATACGTGAGGCTTCCAAAGTCACTGTGAGTGGGTCCAGCCTTATATACCCCAAAATCAGCAAGCCAGAATAGCAGGCACCTTTGTTTTAAGCAGAAATACCTGGTTTCAATCTCACATTAGATTCCCCCAGAGCCTGGCCAGGGCTCGGGGGAGAAGCTAAGGGATTTTCCCTGCTTATCTACTTGGGTTATGTGCAAGGTCTCACATCAGGCCATGGTGACAGACCATGGTCTCCACAACCCTGTTATTTTATCCACACACAAAGAAAGATAAATATACATTCAAGATAGCTACATCTTCCATGCATATTTCACTAATGAATACATACTATATTGGCAGTTTTGGTTCAGGGCCTGTTGCTCAGGCTTCAATACTTAGACCTTTTACATCAGAATAGGTGGTTTGTTATAACTTAGTAAAATATCTATCAGCACTATGGTTATTATTTAAAAAATATACAGGATTAATCTATAGGTCAACTTAGGCTTGCACTGTTTGTCCAAGCCTTAGCACTTCAATGGGGCTCTCTAGACCAGGTATAAAAACTAATTCTAAAAAGAACCCCAGAAGGGTCATTGTAGTGGGTGACTCCGGTGGCTGACCAGTGGGTGTGGAAGGCCCAGTATGCAGGCCAGACACACTTTATAGGGAAGTCTGCTGCCTTCCTGGGGCCTGGGTGAAGAACCTCATGGCAAAAGTACCCACTCCAGTGAGACCCAAGGACTACTACCCTCTCATGGTTTTTCAGGTGGGCAGTGACGATAATATCAGAAGTCCAAAATCCATGAAGAGATATTTCAGGGACTTGAAGAAACTAGTTAAAGGGTAGAGGGCAAAAATTGTGTTTTACTCCATCCCTTCAGTTGTGGGGATGGATGAGGAAGATTACAGGAGAACTCAACAGATGAACTTGTGGTTCCAAGATTGGTGTTACTGGCAGGGCTTCCGATTTTTCAATCATGGGTTAGTATGCAGGACGCCAGACATTTTGAAATCAAATGGGATGCAACTGTCCCAGAGGGGAAAAAGGATCTTGGGGCAGGAGTTAGCTGGCCTCATTGAGAGAGATTTAAACTAAGATTTGAAGGGGGAAGGGGGAAAACATGAAAAATATGAGCCCATCTGAAGGGCATGTATACCAATGCACATAGCATGGGTAACAAACAGGAGGAGCTTGAAGCCCTGATGCAACAGGAAAATTATGATGTAGTGGCTATTACAGAAACATGGTGGGATGTCTCCCATGACTGGAGCATCTCTTTAGGACAGATAGACAAGGAAGGAGAGGTGGTGGGGTGGTGCTCTATGTTAGGAACTGTTATGATTGCTTTGAGTACAAGTGTAGAGAAGACAGAGTGGAGTGTCTGCATTAGTGTGCTGGTTTAAGCCCTGCCAGGACCGGAAAGCACATTACTGTTGCCCGTCCCCCACCCTCAGCTGGTCGGGCTGGAAATTAAGCACAGACTCGGGCTAAAATAAGAAGAATTTAATACAATAGTGTGATGAACAATCTGAACAACAACTGCAGCAATGATAACAACAATAAACAGCAATAAGAGTGAACAAGACAAAAGATATACAGAGAAATACCGCAAAATGGTCAGGGAACAAGCCCACCGCGTGTGTGCACCACCACCCAAAACCAAAAGCGAAAGTAAAAAGGCTCCTCCCCTGGACCTGCGGTCAGCATGGTATGAACAACCCGTCTGGAGATCCCTTCCTCCTCTCTCTCTGCTGGGGAAACTTTACCCTATCCTAGTTGAACCAGGACATAATCCACCCCTTTATTCTATACCATCTGCATCATGTACAGCTGCCATTTAGCAGTTAACAATAACAGAATAACAATTTACAAAGGCACAGCATAATTCATGGCACGTTCTCACCCAGAATCAAGTCCCCCTGTGGTACACATCTGACCTCTCCATTGTCCTGCATCACCCACCAGGTGCACCCAGGTCCTTGGGCAAAAGCAATCCCATGGATGGGTTTGCCTTTACCTTTGCCTGGCGCAGGACTAAACCAGACCATTTTTCCCAATATATTCCTCATGTGCACCACAGGGACTTCACCCCCATCTACAGCACATGGAGGTTTCAACTGAGCTGGGCCAGCTCGACTGGCAGATCCTCCTGTGTTGACTAGACAGGTGGCCTTTGCTAGATGTATGTCCCAGTCTTTGAAGGTCCAAACTCCTAATGCTTTCAATGTGGTTTTTAACAGTCCATTGTAGTGCTCGATCTTCCCAGAGGCTGGTGCGTGGTAGGGGATATGGTAGACCCACTTGATGCCGTGTTCTTCTGCCCAGGCATTTATGAGGTTGTTTCGGAAGTGGGTCCCATTGTCTGACTCAATTCTCTCTGGGGTGCCATGTCGCCACAGGACTTGGGTCTCAAGGCCCAGGATGGTGTTTCTGGCACTGGCGTGGGGCACTGGGTAAGTTTCCAGCCATCCAGTGGTTTCTTCCACCACTGTGAGCACGTGGTACTTCCTGTGGCGAGTATGTGGCAGTGTGATGTATTTGATCTGCCAGGCCTCTCCATATCTATATTTCAGCCATCGCTCACCATTTCGCTGGGGCTTCACCTGCTTGGCATGTTTGATTGTAGCACGTCTCACATGCATGGATGATCTCTGCAATGGTGTCAATAGTAAGGTCCACCCCTCGATCTTGAGCCCACCTGTATGTTGCGTCCCTACCTTGGTGATCCGAGGTCTCGTGGGCCCACCGGGCTATGCACAGTTCACCTTTGCGCTGCCAGTGCAGGTCCACCTGAGCTACTCTAATCTTAGCAGCTTGGTCTGCCTGCTGGTTGTGTCAATGTTAATCAGTGGCCCGGCTCTTGGGTACATGGGCATCCACATGGCGCACCTTCACAATGAGGTTTTCCACACAGGCTGCAATGTCCTGCCATACTTCAGCGGCCCAGACGGTTTTACCCTTACGTTGCCAGTTGTTCTGCTTCCATTGCCGCAGCCATTTCCACAGGGTATTCCCCACTGCCCACGAGTCGGTGGAGAGGTAGAGCCTCGGCCACTTTTCCCGCTCAGCAATGTCCAAAGCAAGCTGGACTGCTTTCACCTCTGCAAACTGGCTTGATTCACACTGTCCCTCAGCAGCTTCAGTGACCCGTCATGTGGGACTCCACATAGCAGTCTTCCATTGTCAATGTTTTCCCACAATGCGACAAGACCCATCAGTGAACAGGGCATATCGCTTCTCCTCATCCGGCAGCTCATTGTATGGTGGGGCCTCCTTAGCACGTGTCACCTCCTGCTCTGGTGATATCCCGGAATCTTTGCTCTCTGGCCAGTTTATTATCACCTCTAGCATCCCTGGGCGGCTGGGGTTCCCTATTCAAGCCCGTTGTTTTATCAACGCAAGCCATTTACTCCACGTGGCATCGGTTGCATGATGCGTGGAGGAGGCCTTTCCTTTGAACATCCACCCCAGCACCAGCAGTTGGGGTGCCAGGAGGAGCTGTGTTTCAGTGCCGACCACTTCTGAGGTATCCCGAACTCCTTCATACGCTACCAGTATCTCTTTCTCAGTTGGTGTATAATTAGCTTCAGAGCCTTTGTATCCCCGGCTCCAAAAGCCTAGAGGTCAGCCTCAGGTTTCCCCAGGTGCTCTCTGCCAGAGGCTCCAGGTAGGACCATTCTCCCCGGCTGTGGTGTAGAGCATGTTCTTAACCTCCTGCCCTTCCCGGACTGGCCCGAGTGCTACTGCTTGGGCAATCTCCCACTTAATTTGCTGTTACCTGTCCCCCACCCTCAGCCGGTTGGGCTGGAAGTTAAGCACAAACCCAGGCTAAAATATGAAGAAATTTAATACAACAGTGTGATAAAACAATCTGAACAACAACAGTGGCAATTATAACAACAATAAACAGCAATAACAGTGAACAAGACAAAATATATACATAGAAATACCGCAAAATCGTCAGGGAACAAAGCTGACGTCTGTGTGCACCACCACCCAAAACCAAAAACGAAAGTAAAAAGGTTCCGCCCCTGGACCTGAGGTCAGCATGGTATGAATAACCCGCCTGGAGATCCCTTCCCCCTGTCTCTCTGTTGGGGAAACTTGACCCTATCCTAGTTGAACCAGGATAATTAGAATCAGGGGGAAGGCCAACAGGGAATATGTCATAGTGGGAGTCTATTATAGGCCACCCAACCAGGACAGAGAAATGGATGAAATATTCTATAGGCTCTTAGGAGAAATCTCATGATCACTTGCCCTCTTCTTGTGGGAGACTTTAACGTCCTAGTCATCTGCTGGAAATACAACTCATCAGAGTGGGAGCAGTCCCGGAGTGCCGGGGTTGTTTTCCACCCCTGCTAGGGTCTCTATCTTCTCATGCGGGACCAAGAATGACACAACACCAATATGATGATCAGATCGTTTGTTTATTCTCTGATTCTGGTTACATTTATAGTACTCTTAAGTTCCATACACGTGCTTATCTGTCCTCTAATAGGCTGCATGCTATCTACACGTGCTGTCCATGTGCTTCTATTAATTGTATTTACATATATAAAGCCAAAAACTTGCCAAAACTTCATAATCTCATATCTTGCTTTTTTTCAAACTGGTATTCTTTTGCCGACAGCTATTTCTTTTTCTGACCACAGGTGTTCATTCTTTTGCTATCTGTACAGTTACTCCTTCTTCTGCTAGCTTTGCCTTCAGCCTTGAATACACCTGTCTGCATTAACTCCCATCTAATGCAGCCCAGACTCCTACACCAGAGATTCCTGGAATGTGTGGGAGATAACTTCCTGACATAGCTGGTGAGTGAAACGACCAGAGAAGGTGCCCTGCTGGATGTCCTCTTTGTGAACAGAGAAGGACTGGTGGTTGGACGCTGTCTAGGGCACAGCAATCATGAAATAATAGAGTTCTCAGTTCTTAGAGAGGCCAGGAGAGGGGACAGCAGAACTGACATCCTGGACTTCCAAAGGGATGATTATTTCTTGTTTAGGCACCTGCTTGACAGGATCCCTTGGAGACAATCCTGAAGGGTCCAGGAAGGCTGGACACTCTTTAAGAAGAAAGTCTTAATAACTCAGGAGCAGGCTGTCCCCAAGTGCTGTAAGAGAAGCCAGCACCAGGGAAGACCACCCTGGCTGAACAGGGAGCTTTGGCTGCAACTCAGGGAGAAAAGGAGAGTTTACAGCCTTTGGAAGGAGGAGCTGACCACATACAGTGATTACAAAGAGGCTGTGAGGCTATGGAGGGCAGAAATCTGGAGGTCTAAAGCCCAGCTGGAAATTAATCTGGCTTCAGCAATCAAGGACAACAAGAAATGTTTCTATAAATATGTGAACAGCAAAAGAAAGACCAGGGAGAGCCTCCATCCCCTCCTAGATGCAGGAAGAAACACAGCAATGAGTGGTGAGGAAAAAGCTGAGGTGCTTAATGCCTTCTTTGCCTCAGTCTTTGCTAAGAAGACTAGTTGTATTGAGGGAATCCAGCCTCCTCAGCCAGAAGACAGAGACTGGGAGAACGACCCCCCTGCAGTCCAGGAGGATACAGTCAGTGACCTGCTGCATCACACAGACATACACAAAGCTATGGGACCAGATGGGATACACCCGAGGGTGCTGAAAGACCTGGCTGGGGTACTCACCAAGCTGCTTTCCGTCATTTACCAGCAGTCCTAGCTGACTGGGGAGGTCCCAGCTGATTGGAAATTGGCCAATGTGACATCCATCTATAAGAAGGGTCAGAAGGATGATCCAGGAAATTACAGGCCTGTCAGCTTGATTTTGGTGCCCAGGAAGCTGACGAAGCAGCTCATCCTGAGTACCATCACACAACACATGCGGGACAACCAGATGATCAGGCCCAGTCAGCATGGGTTTATGAAAGGCAGGTCCTGCTTGACAAACCTTCTACAGCAGGGTGACCTGCTTATTGGATGAGGGAAAGGCTGTGGATGTTGTCTACCTTGACTTCAGTAAGGCCTTTGACACCGTTTCTCACAGCATTCTCCTGGCAAAACTGGCTGCTCGTGCCTTGGATCGGCACACACTTTGCTGGATAAAAAACTGTCTGGATGGCTGGGTCCAAACTGTTGTGGTGAATGGAGTTAAATCCAGTTGGCAGCCGGTCACGAGTGGTGTCCCCCAGGGCTCGGTTTTGGGGCCACTCCTGTTTAACATCTTTGTTGATGATCTAGACGAGGGGATCAAGTGCACCCTCAGTCAGTTTGCAGATGACACCAAGTTGGGTGGGAGTGTTGATCTGCTCGAGGGTAGGGAGGCTCTGCAGAGAGACCTGGACAGGCTGGAGCAATGGGCTGAGGCCAGCTGTAGGAGTTTCAATAAGGCCAAATGCCGGGTGCTGCACTTGGGCCACAACAACCCCCAGCAGCGCTACAGGCTTGGGGAGGAGTGGCTGGAGAGCTGCCAGTCAGAGAGGGACGTGGGGGTGCTGATTGACAGCCGGCTAAACAGGAGCCAGCAGTGTGCCCAGGGGACCAAGAAGGCCAGTGGCATCCTGGCTTGTATCAGCAATAGCGTGGCCAGCAGGGACAGGGAAGGGATCTTACCCCTGTACTCTGCACTGGTGAGGCCGCACCTCGATGACTATGTTCAGTTTTGGGCCCCTCACTACAAAAAGGACATTGAATTACTAGAGCACATTTAAAGAAGGTCAACGAAGCTGGTGAAGGTTCTGGAGCACATGTCATACGAGGAGCGGCTGAAGGAACTGGGGGTGTTTAGTCTGGAGAAGAGGAGGTTGAGGGGAGACCTCATGGCCCTCCAAAACTACCTGAAAGGAGGTTGCAGAGAGCTGGGTGTGAGCCTCTTTAACCAAGTAATAAGCAATAGGACCAGAGGGAATGGCCTCAAGTTGCACCAGGGAAGGTTTAGACTGGATATTAGGAAGCATTTCTTTACAGAAGGGGTTGTTAGGAGTTGGAATGGGCTGCCCAGGGAGGTGGTGGAGTCCCCATCCCTGGAGGTGTTTAAGAGTCAGGCTGACATAGCGCTTAAGGGATGTGGTGTAGTTGGGAACTGTCAGTGTTAGGTTAATGGTTGGACTAGATGATCTTCAAGGTCTTTTCCAACCTAGATGATTCTGTGATTCTATGAATGTGATGACAGGCAGTGAAACATTATTGAATGAAACAATTATAATCCTATAGAGGTTAAATGGGAATGACAAAACAGCTATGCTCTTGCCCACTCTGACCTTGTGCACTAAAGAGGTGTAGTCAGTCAGTCTCCAAATGCTACATCCCAAAGCAAAAGTTAAGATAAAGAGGCTAAGTCTATCCTTGATCTGATCCCTTATAAGAAGGAGAGGGCATGTTATGAATATCCACTCTGAATACAAATTAACTTAGAATTTATGCAAGCACTGATACATTTGATTTATAAATACAGTCTAGAGAGCAATCCCTAATTTTTTAAGGTTTCTTTGCATATTTCAAGGACTCCTGCCCCCTTTTACTATCCAATATAGACCATGCTGAAAGTGATTTCCTTTATTAAATGTCAGCATCTCCAATAAATGCATCAGCATCTTATCTAAGCAGATGTAAAGTGATTTTAAAATTATTGCTATATTTTATATGCAGCACAGGTCTTTAGAGATGTCTGTTTATCTTGGTTTCCTGTTAATTTGGCAAGGACTGAAGCACAAGGCTCCATCACAGACCAAGACTGTCAGACAGGATGAACATTGACCACTGAGACTAATAATACCTAATTATGGCAAATGTTTCTCCTATATGAGTACTCACAGTTCTTTACACAACAGACACTGAGAATATCTGCAGCTGCTTTTATTCCTTCCTGTGAACTGATGAAGCCCCCACCAAAATGCAAATACAAATGAAAACGGTGCCTCCAGCATTGCACTGAGGTCTCATCCTTTCTCCTCCAGCTTTATTAACTAAAAGAGTATTCGACAAAAAAGCCAACTACATCAACAACCAAAACACCAAATCAAAGTCAGGTTAAGAACTTACACTTAGTTGTTGCTGCCTTTCCTTCTCTTGGAACTTTCTCCTAAATATCCGAAGTCTAACAGTCCAAATCTGTCTCCAGCAAGTATCAGGAGATTCTGGCGGATTCCAGTCTGCTATGAGTCTGAGGCAGCAAGACGTTCCTGCTCATTTGTCAAATCCAGTTTGAAATCCAGCTAAATATTTTTGTTATGAGGGTTTCATAGCCCCTTTCTGCAGAGTGCAATGTATTTGAAACATTTGAATTAACAAAAGGATATTGCAGAGTTTGCATTGCAAAATTAAACAAGATAAAATTGCAGAGGGAGCATTTTTAAGAGAAAGAGAAAGAGAAATAAATATCACATTGGGGTTAGAGTCCTCAGAGAGAGAAAGTTAGAAGTGGAACTCAGACCTCAAGGGTCTTTGGAAAATGGCAACTTATTCCTTGGAGAATGCAGCAACAAACCATCTGGTAGGGAGGGGTAATAACAGATGCTGCAGTGTCTGCATTGAGGTAGGAGGGGGGCACATGAAGTAGAGAGAATGTGTTCCAGTGTAACAGACAGCTAGAGGAATATTACTTCAGAAAATAAAAGCATAAGAAAAAAATCTAGTGGTCCAGCATACTGGAAACTGAAGATTAATGTAGAGCTCTACTGTCTCTAAAAGACACACATTTTTCTCTTAATTAATATTTTATTATTGTTGCCCATCTCCATAATATGGGAGGATCATGGCTCATGTATCTCACAAAGTTGCAGGCAGACAACTGTTGCCCCAGAGAGTGATAGAGGAGAAAGTTTTGTGGTGCCGGTGACCGGCTTTCTGTAGAGGATGCAGAAGGGAAAGAAAAAAAATTATTTGAGGATGCTGTACGCAGTCATTTAAGTTTCAAGCTGGGACTGATGTAAATCTCACATGGACAATGATGGAGGACAGAGTTGCTGTGGGACTAGCAGTTAGCAATGGACCACCCCATGAAGACAGTTTTTCACTTACACATTAGCTTCACAATATGCAGTTTTCAGTCCTGTTGATGTTAATGCATCCTTACATTTCTAGCAGCAGCATCCTTTTGTTTCTGCGGCTACACACAGAGTATGTATCAAGATAGACGAAAAACAAATCAGAGAATGCTTTCTTGTGATACTAAGCTAAGCAAGATGCCTGCCTGGTGGTAGACAGCTTCTTTAATAATAAAAAAATCACACCATTACATCTCATTCATTCTAGGACTGGCTCCAACACTCACTCAGCCTCTGCCTTACAGAAGAGCTGACAGTTAGACCGATTTTAAAGCATATAGATCTCCTACTCTGGACTGCATCTTTCCCAAAAGAAGAACTGAACTTAAAACACTCTACCCTGAAACCACTAGTTAAAAGAGGAGCTTGTCACTATACAGGTACCCGATAAAGGAGTGTTTTAAACCACTTTTCCCTGGCATCCCTTTCACCCATGACTCTTGACCTGGAAGTCATCTCACAGGAATACTGTAATCACAGAAGGAGCAATAT